TAAAGTCACACGCCTTCACATAAAAAACAAAAGTAAACACAGAATGGACTGAGAGCTGAACCTCGTTAATGAAGGCCAAACACGCACACAGGGGCGATAAAATACGACAATATTGGCTTATCACCACGACCAGGCGAGTTGTAGGGGTATAAGTGATGAGTTTTGAGATGATATTCTGTAATGGCCTAAGTTATCTTTGGGGAGATGTTGGGACGATTAATGATAATTTAAAATATATATATCATCAACCCTCATAACAAAAAAGTTTACTTTCTTTATAACATCAAAACAAAATTTAATGACACAAAGTCCAGAAGCAATTTTTGTTGCTGGAAGTCACTCACTCACACGGGTATGCTTACGGATATTGACTAAAAGCCCACCTTTCAAACCTTGCGTGCCGGATATCAGAGCTAAATGAAGGTTAAGTGTTCCAAACTCTCTCGCTTGAAGGAACTGAATATCCATAAGAACTTTAAATTTCAAAGTATTTATAATCGGCAAACAAAAGAACATCTGAATAGCTCTACTTGCTCCCATTACATCCAATTATCTACAGAACACATTAATAGTAAAAACAATAAGATTAATAGTGTCATATAAAAGAGAAAACATATATTCTTTAATTTCCATACAAATAAAACTAAAATAGTCTTTTCTTTTTCATCTTTTTACCATGTTGAACTTGTGTTTCATTGTTTTAATTACTAAAGTAGTTTTACGGCTGAATAGTAAAATCTGGGGCGTATGAATAAGTGTTCCTCGACAACTATAGGGGCCTACTGCTTTATACACCTGTCTCACGTCTCCTAATTTACCCTCGTCCCTTACCTTTATAGATATATATTTCCATGAACACCTGTAAGGATTTTGACGTTTATCCTGCCTTTAACATTCACCTTGCCCATGATAATTAGCCTGCCCATGACACTCAGCATACCCATAACTCCCAGCTTACCCATAACACTCAGCTTACTCATAACACTCAGCATACCCATAACACCCAGCTTACCCATAACACTCAGCTTACCCATAACACTCAGATTACCCATTACACTCAGCTTACCCATTACACTCAACTTACCCATTACACTCAGCTTACCCATTACACGACAACTTCTCTCACATCACAAACAGATTCGTTTCCTACACACTAACTGGTACTAATAGGCGGTCAGTGTGTACTAAATGGTCGCTTTATTGATAATTTGGCGATTCACGAGTGACAAAAAGTATAAGAAGTATAAGTAATTTGTAGTGTTGACCCTAAGTGTGTAGTGTATATATATTTGTAAAAAAAAACCAGTTGCATGTATGTACAGAGGAATCTAGGTGTGTGTGTGTGTGTGTGTGTGTGTGTGTGTGTGTGTGTGTGTGCTTACCATCAAAATAGGTTCAGGAGTGGGCTAACTTATTTACTATCTGACTGGATATACATTAAAAGTTGACAGTGCTTCGTCAGTAGTTCGTTCACCGTTGACCTAGTTCCTCCTCCTGCATCTACCTGTGTTCGGTCCGTCCTCACACTGCATCCTGTGTTGACATTTAGTATTACCCTGTTAACATTAGCATTGTATTGTGTGTTATGGTAAGACTGGAAGGTGTTTGATTTGTATCGATTGGAATTTTAAAATAATTTACATTGATTTATTTTAGACCTTTTAGCCAACACGTTATTATCATCACTCTATTTCGCCTCTACATCAAGTCTACGGATGAGGGATAGAGAAGGATAGGAGCAGTCAGTGTAAGACCTGAGTACATGGAAGGACTAAACAGAGACCCCTTAGCCGCATTATAGTACAGATTCTTGGGTTGAGTAAAGAGGGCAGTATGCAGGCTGACACACACGCAAACCTCACACATACGCTCTTACACACACACACACACACACACACATTATGTCGATGAACGACTTTTTTAACACGGAAACAGTCTTGACGAAAGGAGAATTAAAATCGTTACAAACACCATCAATGGAACGTCAATCTGGTCATATTTTACGAGACTTTCACCACCACAATTGATCACTGCTATATGGATTGGTGCTAAAGTTTTATTAACATTTACCTTACGATATAAAAGGAATTTATATGCGGTCATAATTGATCCAGAGATAAGCGCCAGTGTTGAAAAATAATGAAGGAATTTTATATCACTCAGATAGGTGGAGTATTAAGGTTTTGTTGTTTAATATACGAGATGTTCTTGTGTTTTATATTTACGACTTCTTACCGCGTTTTATTATCAACTGGTTTAAAGTTTGGTACTCTGTTTTAAGTTAAAATTCGATTAAGCTGTAATTATAGTAAATTAGCTGAGTCCACCTTCCAACGCTAAGCAATTTTCTGTAATTTGCCGTATGGTTACAAAAGGGACTCAAACAGTTTTACATATCATTACAAGAAACACAAATTAGCACTTAGGTGGTGTGGCAATTACTGAAGCTACTGGTTGAAAATAAAGACTTAATGATAACACACAGAAACAACAACGAGTTTATCTGTTGTTGATCTGAAATAAATAAGAAATAAATAAAGAAAAAAGTTGATTACCTCGCGCTCTCTACGACTTGTTTAGTATATCTTTGACTTTATCATTATTTTCAATCTTTATTCTTTCCCTACGCTATCTAATGCTCTTAAATAAATAATCTCTAAAGAATATTGCAATAAACATCAAGTCAAATAGATTCGAATTACGAAGGACTAATAGCGTTAATTTGTGTGGAGATAATCAAGGAATACAAACATCAAGCAAGACGGCCCCAAGACACTGACGAAAACGACACTCCACCTCCATAACTCTCTCACACACGCAATAACTTTACCCTTCTTTTACCTTCAGATATAAATTTTTAAAGTTCACAATGTTAGTAGGACTCACCCACACTAATTAGGTAAATGGTGTTCATAAATCAGACGTGGAGCATAATTTCTCCCAGGAAGGAGTTGGAGTTAATTACTGGTCTGTGTAAATTCTGCCTAAATTTGGTGTACTGAAGTAAATTGTTCAGTTCCCCCATTGGACCTTTTAGTGAAACATTGTATTGGTGGTATTGTGTTGGTGGCAGTGCTGGTGTTGTATTGGTGGTGTTGTATTGGTGGCAGTGGTGGTATTGCTTTGGTGGCAGTGGTGGTGTTGTATTGGTGACAGTGGTGGGATTGTGTTGGTAGTTTGGTTTCTCAGAAGAGCATCGGAACTCATAGGACTTTTAGCACACACACACACACACACACACACACACACACACACACACACACACACACACCAGTTTTCCGCATAATCTTAAGAGACAAATATCCCTTTAACCAATAAGCTCTGCAGGTAAGGTAGGTCCTCCCTGAATATGACGCAGCTTATTAACTCACAGGTAAATGCAGCGGTTACCTGATTTATCCCCACTACTTAAGGCTATAGTCGTGTAAGTGTGTCTCCAGATACTCATGAGTGGCTCTTATTATGGCGCCCTTGCATTAGTTTTTCCCCCTCCATTTCTTTCTCTTTTTTTCTCTTTCTCTCTTCCTTTCTCCCTTGCTTCCCTTCTTCTCTACGTTTCTTCTCCCTCCCTTCCCCTCTACTTTGCTTCCTTTCTCCTTTACGTTTCTTCTCCCTCCCTTTCTTTCTACTTTCATCTCCTCGTTTCTTCCTCCCTCCCTTCTTTTCTCCCTACCTGTTGTCTCTCTCCCATCCTTTCCATCTCTCTCTCATCAACATCCTCTACAATATATCACTACACTGCCCCCATCACACATCCAATTCTCTATACATAATTGTCACAAACCTCACCTATACATCCTCTTACACCCCCTGAAGATCATCTATAGACCTAAGGTGTATTGGAGTGTATTCAATACCCTGATTCCTCCTCATCTCGTGTTAATAAGCCATAACACTTAGCGGTCAGGAGGTCATAACACAGGGGGTACGGGTGAGAGGTTAATGGTCGGTTACCACTTGAGGGACTATTGTTCGCTCCTGCTGGGGATTAAAAAAATATATACTTGAGTGAATGATGATACCAGGGTGGTCGTTGGGTCACGTTAGATGGTCTTATTACATACCGTGGGATATTATTGGTCATATGGACGAGGGCATGGTGGTAGGTCACAGTCGAAAGAGATTTGTGTGTGTTTAATGGTTGATGACTAAGTGTATAATGTTAACATAGACTACAAGCTTAAAGACTAAGAGTTATTTAAACGTATTCATTCATTTTATCAACATTAGGATGAGTTACTTTGACTGGTCTATGTAAAGGTGGAAAAGAATGACAGAAAAAGAAAGAGGAGGGAAATGAAGACGAGGAAACAGAATGGCGAGGGATTGGCGAAAGAGGAATGCAAAAGACGGAAGAGGAGGAGGAGGAGGAGGGATAGAAGTAGAAGATGGTAAAGGGAAGAAAGTAACACCAAAAAAAGAAATGCGTAATAACAGGTAAATATGTAAACACTCTTACACTCGACACAACAGCTAAGTCACTCAACACCTCCTCACTAAAATAACACCATGATGTTTTCTTTTACGTATGTTTTGTTTACATTGCCAATTTATGCTTTTGTATGTATAAAGAAAGACGCTCTATATCCCACCACCATTTGGGTAATATAAATGAAATCAGATCTTAATATTTTTCTCAGATATAAGAAAATGTTGAGGAAATAGACTATATTATTATCTACATCTCTCTTCTGTAAAAATGAAATATATTTGACATTTATAAGCAGTGATTAAGGTGTACGTCATTGGTTGCATGGTAACGAGTGATATTCTTCCAGACATTATTAACGATGCTTTATATTGACTGTTATTCATGATAGTGATTTTTCTTATCAGGGTAATGTAATGTATACCTGAGATTATATACTGAGACTAATAATGAAGGTTGACATTTTTTGCAGGTGTAATTAATTCTTTTAATCTGACAGGTATAATGTGTAAATCTTGATATATTTCTGGTCGGTCAGGAAGGTTCACGGTGTTGTTTGTATTCCAGGAATGTGTGTGGTGGGAGGAAGTGAGCAGCCGACTACCTCATCTGTGTCTGGCAGCTGACAGTTGTGGTCTGTTCACGGTAACACTTGAGGAACAAATCTGACCCGTTGTGCCGTTAGTTCCCGTGAATTGTGATAATGACAATGATAGTTTCTCAGCTGCAACATACGTAAGAATGAAAAAGAAAAGTAACGGAATGTTTTATTATTAATATCTCAACTTTCATGATAGAATGTTTAACTTGCCGTATAAAAATCCGTGTATTGAGTATTCCATTCTAAAAGATTGTGCTGCTGTAAGGTGTCGATAAGAAATCGTGTGACAGGCTACATGGATGGCAGGTGAGGCGTTGAACTATCGACGAGGGAGACGGTGATGACACCCGCCGTGGCGTACCGCGGCTCAACAAGTGGCCAGGAGGGTGAGGCCCCTCCCGGCCTCCCCTCCCTCGTGCCATCCAAGTACCGTCAAGGTGACATGGGATTCTATCGACTAGTTGAGGAGGCATCGCGATCCACGCCGCATTCCAAAATTTCTTTCAGCAAATCGGAACCGCTGTTGCTGAAGAGTGCCAAAGCTGACGTGCCCCTGAACCGAGGGTCGAGTTGGGATGCTCCGAAGGACGCTAAAGAAAATGCACCTTTTGACTGGTCGAGAAACATTAATATATCGAAAACTGTTCACTCCACCAGTGAGGGAACACTGTTCAGAGAGAAGGTCAACAGCATCTCCGCCACGCCGTCCACGGGGCGGGTAACAGCAAGATGGCGGGGCGATGGGGGAATAACGTCCACTCGAGTTGACGCCATTACTGGCCGCGACCCTTTCAGCGAACTGTTGGTGGAGTTCAACAGCAGAGACTCCAGCCCACTCACCACTATGCCGCCCGTCAGATGGCCGTCAGTTGTGTCGGTCCACGGGAGGCCTCTCACGGGTCGCCGCCGCCATAAAAGAAGTTCAGCCACAAAGGAAAGAGCCCCCAGAGATATCTCAAAGTTTCCTCAAATTAATGTCAATGATGATGACGACAACCGCTTCTCACAGACTCAAGACCTCAGGAAACTGTCCCAGATCAAGAGTTCTGAGTTCAGGCAGCAGGAAGTGCTCAAACTGGTGGATCCTCGGAAGCCCCAGGAGTCGCGGCGTCCTTGGCGACATGGCGACCCGAAGAGCCCCTTACCATCTCGCAGTCCCAGGAACTCCTTCAGTAGGTCACCCAATGGCAGAGATCTCCTCAACGAGGACACCACCACCGATAATGACGACGATGAGTTTGCTGACTCCCTCTTACACCTGAACAACTTGGCGGGGAGGCAGATGGTCCGCCCTCCAGTTCGGCCATCTCGCGCTATAAAGGAACTGTTGGCGAGAGATGAAGAAGAAGCTTCAGACTCTAGCAACACAACTCCAGTTCCCACAGGTCAGTGTAATGTGTCATACTGTTAAAGCTTTTGTAAGGCTAACATACTTGTTTAGGCCGCGTGAATGATACGAAGCCTCACCAAAGGGCGTAAGTTAATATTAAGAAATATATTAATCTTTTACTGTAAACCCTCGCAACTGTCTTGTTCATTCAGGAAGACAATGGGATTTTATCTAATATTTTTGTTTGCTTTTAGGGCTCACGTATTCTCAAAGACAATTCTGAGTAAACAAAATGGCATTATTTTTTGTCCCTGTATTATTAAGAATTAAAACACTTGATGTTATATCTAGACATATTTTCTTAACGTAAATTGATAAATAATAAAATGAAGAACTTAAAAAACAAAACAACGCAGAACGTTTACAACGATGATACCAGCCTGTTAATGACACTAAAACATTTCATCCGCTACAAAATAGTATAATAATTTCAAATGATATTAGAATAAGACAAAAATAAACATGGAAAATAACAAACATGGTACCAACAATATCTGAAAAAGAGGAAGAGGAAGAAATACGTAAAAAATATATATTGTGAACTCAGTTTTTTTTATAACGGGTTGATGGATTTGAAATCACTATGCGTCTGTGATAGGGTCGTTGGGTGGTAAGTATTAACGGTACCCGACTGGAGTAACGTCACTAGTGGAGTACCCCAAGGCTCAGTAGTCAAGTACTTGGACCATAACTATTTATTATATACTGTATATATATATATATATATATATATATATATATATATATATATATATATATATATATATATATATATATATATATATATATATATGTAACCGGTCGGAATTTGCTGGACTTTAATTTCTCACTTGACTTGGGGTTTATTAAAAATTAATAGATGGTAATGGCAGTGGAAGCGCCCCTTTGAGAAAAATCCCGAACCAGCACAAGAACACTTAAATCTACTACACAAAATGAACTGTCCGTGACCCGTGGAAGGATAGCGTCTGTGACTGGGATGAATGAGACACACTGTAAAATTTAGACACTTATATTCCCTCCAACACTACAAACACAATCAAATAATGGTACACCAATATGCGCACCTCTTAACTTAAACTTTAAACACTACTCTGGGGAATAAAAGTTATACATGACATAGAAATTATTAGAAACACAGGCAACAATAAATTTGAAGTATTAAGAAATGTTAATTGCACACATGAACAGGCCTTACGGGCTTTCACAAAATAATATCAGTCACTGAGGAATGGTAATAAAATATAAGAATTTAAATACTCTACAATGAATAGGCCTTAAGGGCACTCAACAAAATTATAGTACCCCAACAGATGTACACTTCCTAACCTAACCTAACCACTACTCTGGGGAACAAGGTTATACCTGAGATCAGAATTATGAAGAACAATTAGAGGCATTAAAAGAATCAATCACAGTATCACTCTGGTTCCACTTAATGGCACAAACATTCAAAACAATATTATCAAAATTATTTAAGAAATATTAACTACACACGTCAAGATAATATCAGTCTGAGGAGTGGTGTTAACTACACCCGTAATAAGGAAGATAAAATGTTCCTCTAGGTATCTCCTAGAGTCCTAGACTCACGGTCTCAGTGTGTGACCATTAATATACTCAGATAGCCTCAGTGTACTCCCAGTGCGTCCATGGGCAGGAAGAGAGTGAGCCAATCAGACCTTGTGCAGTTGAGAGAAACTTTAGCTTCCCGTTAGCAAGAGGGTTTCACTAGCTGCTCGGGACATGTGGGGTTGTGCACCGGAGTGGTAAGAACTGATCACCCACTGCTGATGCTGGTCCCGTGTCGTTTTAGTTGTCGGGAGCACTCGTTCACTCAAGAGATCCTTTGCTACCCCGCTAAACAGTGACAGGCCTACACTGATCGGTCCAATGGCGACAATCGCCACCCTCAATCATCAACGGCAGTCAATCTCTCGCAGTCAACTCCGGTCAACTCCAATCAACTCCGGTCAACTCCAATCAACTCCGGTCAACTCCAATCAAGTGGGTTCTGACGGAAACCCTGAAATGAACTCACTGTTAGCTCTAGTTTACTTTATCACTGCCCTATCTAACCCTGTCTGAGATCGAATGAGACTTACTTGTTATACTGCAATAGCGCAGCACAGGTGACTAGGCCACGTGACTATTTCTGATGGACGCGCGGAACGTCTTGTCTGTGTGAATGCTCTCCGGGACTGGGCCTAGCCAGCGTCGCGTCTCCTCAAGGCGTTAGCTTGGTCCTACGTGATATATTTACCGCCTAACTAATAACTCCTTGGGACACCCGTAACATTATTCAGACTGCTAAACGATCTATAATAATTTCAAATTCAATAATAGTCCCTTAACTTCATGAATCGCATCATTATTAATTCGGTAAATTACATTTAATATCATATAGGCCTAGTTCCGCAGTCTCTCGCTACGAGCAGGCAGCGCTCCCTCCCCTCAGATGACCTTGAACGCTCAGTATCACTCATGGCGGGGCATTTGAAATTACTCTGAAATTTCTGGATATTACATATATATATATATATATATATATATATATATATATATATATATATATATAAATGACATAGATATAGTCGTAGACAGCAACATAAGTAAATTTGCTGATGACACTAAAATAGGGAGTGTAATTATCTGACGAAGACTCCACAAAACTAAAGGAAGATCTAAAAAAAAAATTGCATGGTCTGAAAAATGGCAGATGATATTTAATGTAAAGTACTTAGTCTAGGAGATGTAAACAGAGAAAACAGATATCAGATGAACAACGATGTCATAGAGAAATCCGACTGTGAGAAAGACTTACGAATAATGATAAGTACGAATTGTAAACCAAGACAAAAATGTGTATTTGCTCCAAACAAGGCTAACAAAGAACTTGGGTTCATACAAAGGAGTGTTAGTTACAAGACTATATAGCGAGGTTATCTTAAAACTATATCTCACTTGGATTACGCGGTTCATTTCTGGTCACCGTACTACAGAATGGATAGAGGTGTATAAATGGAAGTCAGGGCTAAACAAAGGTGATATAACAAAGATACTCAAACTATCCAACCAGGAGCGAACTCGAAGCAATGGCTTTAAATTAGACAAATTTAGATTTAGGCGCGAGATAGGTAAACATTGGTTTGAAAACAGAGTAGTGGATGAATGGAACAAGTTACCAAATATCATCATTAACTCGAATACGCTGGATAGCTTCAAACATAGGTTGGGTGGATATATGAGCGATAGGGGTTGGGTGTAAACAGGATTGCCCAGTATGGGACAATAGGCCAGCTGCAGTTTCCTCCATTCTTATGTTCTTATTCCTGAGGTCAGCTGCAGTGTCCAATCATTAAACACCCTAACACTACACCTAGGTTAGCTACAGTGTCCAATCGTTAAACATCCTAACACTACACCTAGGTTAGCTACAGTGTCCAATCATTAAACACCCTAACACTACACCTAGGTCAGCTACAGTGTCCAATCATTAAACACCCTAACACTACACCTAGGTCAGCTGCAGTGTCCAATCATTAAACACCCTAACACTACACCTAGGTTAGCTACAGTGTCCAATCGTTAAACATCCTAACACTACACCTAGGTCAGCTACAGTGTCCAATCATTAAACACCCTAACACTACACCTAGGTTAGCTACAGTGTCCAATCATTAAACACCCTAACACTACACCTAGGTCAGTTGCAGTGTCCAATCACGAAGCAAGCTATTTTATTTTACTATACAAAAAACTATGTGGAGGAAGCATAGTATTAATAGAAGTATTAGTAATAATAAAAAAGTTTGAAGTGAATTAAAAGTTTAAAAGAATAACGAAAATTGTGTAATTAATTTTCGAGTAATTCGGCCACCTTCTCGGAGAGCTGGGCAATGGTTAACCTAACTCATTTCAACCTATCCTAACCTACCCTTACTGAATTATCCTTATACAACTAAATATAACCTCACATGGCAACAAATTCATAACCAAGCTTAATGTTTTTTTTAGATATCCATAAATAAACGACTGACAAACATATATTTACGAAGTTGATACAATATAAGGATAATAACTCGAGCCTCCATGCTAAGGGGAGTAACGTATCATGAGGAAATACAGTATGTCATTTTCTTTATAAAGTTTGTATGAATGTGAGGGGCGTGTATTAGTAAACGTCGTCAAAACTTACCATAAAGAGTGAACTTTAAAACCAGGAAGTGGCGGGCGTTTCCATGCATGAATACTGGTCTCTTTTTTTTAATTCATGTACAGTATAACCCTCCCCCCCTCCCACCCTTTAACACTACCTGGTGACATATTTACTGTTTTTATTATTTACGGTTCAGTATTGAGTAGATTCTGGCCTCGTGGTGGTAGTAACGTTTAATGTCACTCGCTATGGTGGTTTGGACTCGGAAACAAAATGTATCTGTTACTCGCTCTCTCGTTTACCCTAGTTAGTAATGGATTTCTCTCCAGTGTTATTTTTTACTTTTGTCTTGAAAATAATTATTGGTTTGTAAGATTATATTTTATAGTCTCATTTGAATAATAAGAAACGCTTTACAATTACCTTGAGAATTAATGTACTTGAATCTACTCACGCAAGTCAATTAAACTGTGTGTGTGTGTGTGTGTGTGTGTGTGGACCAAGGACTTGTATCACTGTAGATGAGTGCGTTGTGTATTAGTGGTAGCTGTACGTACCCGTATATGGAGACGGTCAATCTTGCGCGCGCGTACACACACACACACACCTTCAATTGTATATCTCCATTGGAAAACTTTTATTGCAGTTATCCCATCAGATTCTAAAGAAAGTCCCGTTTTCTGTATTCACGTATCCATCTTCTATCTAGGTCAATCTAAATTCAGTCCTCAGACCAATCTCATCCACCAGTCTTTATTCAAGTCATCCATTCACCTTTTCATCCGATTAATCAACCATTCTTAATCCCAGGTTTTCAACCATCTTTATGTTAATGT